AGTCGTCGTCGATGTCCAGCACGTTGGCCAGCAGGCTCTTGCTGGAGCGCTCCTTCAGCTCCAGCTCCTTCATGCGGTTGCTCATCAGGATGGTCTTGCGCGTGATCTTCTTGCCCGGGCGCGACATCCCCAGGATCCACGGCAGCCACTGCAGGAAGACGCTCTTGATCTGGAAGGCGGAGTTGCGTATGAGGGTGGCGGCCGAGGCGGGGAAATACATTTGATACGTTGATTTAGCCATTTCAATTTGTTATTGTCCATGTCTCCCTTCATAAATATGAATATCTGACAGTACAATATGAATCATCTATCGTTAAAGAACAGATGATATGTTTTCTCAATTTTGAGAAATTGCCTTTAACGGACTTCTAAAAATTATTGCTTTCTGGAAAACAGTAATTTTCCTTTCTAATCAAATCTTGATAGCGTTTATATGCCCAAAATTATTCGCTACAAGTATCACACAAACAAATATGATACGAAGTGCTAATTGAAATTCAGTCTTTATGTAAAGTGATATTTTGTGCTCTTTCCAAAGCACGAACCAACAAAGACAAAGTGATAACTTTTGGAGAGGTGTCACAATTTGTTTATTGTAATTAAATTGAACGAAGTCTCAAATAATATTCTGAATTTTAGGAGTATAACCATACGTATCGCATGACATAGTATTGTATGTATCAATGATTTACGACTTCTGACAGAAACATCTGAACATTAAGAAAATCTACACAAGAATTACCTTCTAAGTGATTGATAGAATAGTTGGTCAAGAGTGTTACATTTTTTATATCCTTATCTACAATTTAGAGGAGTGTAAGTCAAGAAGTATTGTGGTTATCCTGTGTTTATTAAAAAAATGAATACAATACATGAATTTTGTGATACCTGATTTCACAGAAAACTTTTGACTCAGAAAAATCTTGATTAATACCAAACCATGAAGGAACTAGATACATTTTTAAGTAAACATATTATGACTAATGAAATGGTTAATCGTTTACTAGAATAAATAATGTCAGGTTATTTAGAAATATCACTTTTGTTTGGTAAGAGTCTCTCCATAATATTTTTAGTGATCTTTTTTCACATTCGTGTCTGATTCTCCTTTCGTATTTGGTCAAACAACTCAACAACGAATGGAGTAATTCCCTTATGTTAGTAGCCATGTTGATATGACGTAAGCAAAGGCTCTCACGTATTCTTCATGGTCAAAAAATGTTACAGAAATGTTACACAAGTTGTAGAACGAAGTACAAAGAAAATATTACCCAAATGTACCATCTGTGATGAGCAGTTTGTTAGAGACAAACCTTTCTTACATTTCCAGCAGCATTAAAAAAAAGTGATTGAAAATATGAATTGCAAACGTTTCTGAAACTGTAAAGCAAGATCACTTTTTTGTACAATCAACAGTGAACTTAATAACTCCACTGAAGTAGACTTAAATATTTCGTTCGTCTTCAAAATTCAAATAAAATCAAGACCAAGCTCTTGAGAGATTAAACTTACATTAATACAGAAATATGTTCATTCTGTAAATACAAAAGTTCTTCTAATCTTTCTATAAATCACGAAAATATGTTATTTCAATACGAATCTTGTATGATGAAACAACGTTTGCGCCCATCATTTATTTTTTATAAATCAATTTTGATATAGTGGATTGTTTTTAATAACTGGACAAAATTTACCACTTTTTATTGATAGTAGTTTATTAATTATTAAATTTAACTTATTAATATTTACATTAAACTAATTCTAATATTTGTAAAGAAATACTACTTTTGGAAGAAGTTGGCATTGTTTTAATAAGGATACTTGTTAAAAATTTGAATTTGATAATGTTGGTACTATTAAAAATTAGGATGTTTTATGATAAAAGTCCTGATATCTTCCTTCTGGGTCTCATTACAATCCCTACCTTTGTATTCGAATTTGACATAAACATTTTATTTTTTACAAATAGAGGCAGTTGATTGCTTACTGGTCGTTGTTTCCAATTTTGAACAAAGTCGTATACAGACATCTCGACAAATAAAATAAATGACAGCGTTATAATTATCAGACTCACCAGCAAAAATTTGTTAGGATTTGCATTAAAATCTCGTTTATTTCGAACTTTCTTATCTTCACCCGTTTCGGCCTCTATCAACTCGACTGCCCGCTACTTACGTGCCTGTTGGCGGGCAAGCGCGCGAGCGCAAGTGCACGTACCCACTGCGGCATCTCGTGAATGTCGGCGGTGCGGTGGTGGTAGTTGAGCACCACCACAGTCAGCACCACCGACGAGGCCACCATGAACATGATGCAGTTGAAGTAGGTGCCTGGAAGGCAGGAGCAGCGCCGCGCGCCATTAGCCGCGGAGGCTCTCGCGCGACGGTGGCAAAGGGACTCTCACGCGTCACTCTCTCACTCGCTTCGAACGGGGCGCAGGCACGCGGCACTCACTCACTCGGGGCACGGGGAGAGAATAAAAAAGAGAAAAAGAGAAACAAAGACAAGACAGAGAGAGGGAGGGAAAAAAGAAACTTTACTAAGAGAAAGAGAGAAGACAAAAAGACAAAATTCTGCAATCCAAAACACATCGACCTTACAAGGTCGCTACTTGGCATGACAAGATCCAACATACCAGGCTACAGAACAGACTCGAACTAGTTTGCTCCTCCGGAAATGAAAACGCCAGGCAATGCAGTCCATGTGTGTGTATGCGAGACAGTCGAGCTAAAGGCATTACCAAACGGTAACAAAAAAAAATATACAAGAGCAAACTCTAAAAGAGGGGGTGTTATGGCCGGCTCGGCAGTAATCGTCTCGTCGGCTACAGCGTGCGGAACGGGATGTATTTTTTTTTGTATTTTTTTGTATGGTTTGATTTTTAGGCGCATTTTAGGGGGCTGCGCGCGGCTGCGGCGGCGTTCGCGGCGGCGCGGGGGCCGTGCCACGGCGCCGGACGCGCGTGCGCTGTTTAATGCAGCTTTACGTTCAGGCGGAGGCGCAGCGGCGCCGCGGCGGCAGCGACGGCGGCGGCGGCGGCGGCGGCGGGCTCGTGCGGAGTCTCCAGGCGCGAAAAACTTGGGCGAGGGAAGAAAGGGAAGAGTGGTGGAATTTATGGGACGGATGGATGGGACCATGCAAATATTCTGGGTATTTGTTTGTTTTTATGTACTTATAATTTAATATGGACACTTATGCGGCATTTTACATTGCTATGTAGGTAGTGTAAAGAAGTATGAGTAAAAACGTCAATGCCCTTTTAATGTCAAAAACACTCGATTAAAACTTTTTTTGTTGGTAAGTAGGTATGTTTATTGCGCCGATATGTTTTCAAAAACGAGCTTCACGTTCCTAAATTCGCATGCCGTTCCATCCAAATTCGCATACAATTGGAGATTATTTTCAGAGCACCATGTGTCCTTAGTTTTAGTCCTTGTATTTGTCCTTGTAATTAGGTTCTCGAATCAATCCCGTCGAAAGAGTAACATACGCAGAATAATGTGAGAAAGGAAATAATCGTGTACAATAAAGTATAAAAAGTTTATTAATTATTACATTCCCATTGTTAGCTTTCAAGAAAACACTTTTTCATCTTCAGTGAGCCCAAACAATGTGGATCACTTACAAACGTACACAACACGGAATTTATACGTAGAATAAGCCAACATTTCATATTTAGATTGTTGAACGAGAATGGAAAGCGCCGACTGTGGTGATCGACATTACGAGAGCGCATGTCTTAATAACGCCTCGCTTCGAAATTTGTCATGTTTTATCCTCTCGTGGGCAACGATGCATCCCGTTCTATTTCGTGTTGTATCCTACGGATCTAGAGATATGCTGACCACAAAATTGTGAGTAGATTGTGTGTATCTTGTATCTTCCAAGGACCGTCCGTAAATGGGGTTTGAAGACCAGCGATTTGGATAAGAAAAGTAAAAATACACCATAAATATTGTATAAAAAGACAGACAACTGATTGTGCTTAATTTTTCAATATCGATATCTACTAAATATTATGTGTAGAAATATAATTTCGTTTTAAAATTACTTTAATGAAATATTCTCGCATAAGGACCGATCAGTGACCTGAATAATCAGTATTTTCGTGTTTTGTTACATGTGACTTATTTGCATTTTTGATATGAAATTGTTCATGTTTAACTGCCGAAGATAGTAAAAAGTATTTTAAATCACGTATAAATCTTGCAAATGAGCTTTCTTATACACAAATGTTCTCAAAATGTCACGTCTTAAATCCTGCAAACTACCTTTACTCTTAATTCAAGTTCTTTGAATCTAATGTACTTAGAATGTTGTTAGTGGAGGGCAAATGTGTTGTCTGTGTTTGCATGTACGGGGTAGGGAGGATCCGGTGAAAAAGTAAGGTCGGAAGCGCAGTGCATTGAGCGCCGCCGCGAGAGAAAGAGAAACTGAAGCTGTGCGCTGTTGGAGCGGAAGGCGCGGCCGTGCCGCTGGGAGCGCGGGCGTCGCCGCCGCGGGTGCAACTGCCGCCGGCGCCTCCGCACCCGGCGCGGGGGTGCGCATGCGGAAGCCGTCTCGGCAGGCGGCGCTCGCTGGACGCAGGCAGAGACAGAGAGAGAGGAAGACAGAGAGGGAAGAACAAGGTACGTTGGTGCCGCGGGCGGGCGGGCGGCGGACGGGCTCGGCGGCGAGCGAGGCCGTGCGCTCCGTGTTACCTGCGAGTGCAAGCCATTCCGGGGACGGGCAGCGGGCAGCGAGCAGCGAGCAGACAGAATAGAACAGAGGGCCGGGCACTGCGCCGCTGGCGTTACTATGTAACACCGCTGGTTTGAGAGGCTTTTAGTCGCGAGAGAGGCTCTACTCACAGCGTGTCATTTACTGGGTGGGGCAGAGTCCTTTAGTAGCTGGGCCGGGGTTCGAGGAGGGATCGAGCGGTTCGCTACGGAAAACTAAAGCAACGCACCGACAACGGCAACTCGGGAGGCGCGTGAGACTGAGTGAAAGCTGCTGTACACACAGTAACAATCAGATTAACAAGTAACAGCAATAATATATATAATAGTAATAAATGTAATAGAACGGGACAGAGCTGTTGATACTTGGAGGTGGAGGGTGGCCGAGAGAGGCGGGGCGGGCGGGCGGCGCCGGCGGGCGGCGGGCGGGCGGGCGGCGCCTCGCCGCGGGCGGCCGTCCGTCGGTCGGTGCGGGCGGCGACGGCTGGCGCTGTGGAGCACACGGCCGACAGACAGAGGCGGACCATCGGGCGGGCGACGGCAGGGGCGGACAGGGCCGGGGCGGTCGGACCGGGGCCGCGGGGCGGCGCTCCGGGCGCAGGCGGTCCCATGCTGAGGGTGCGGGTTCCGGACCAGGAGCGACACAAGCCACTGCTGCTCTGCACGTCGCCGCCATCTTGCAGCGCCCGACCCCGGAGGCGGGCGTGGCAAGATGGACGGGCGAGGGACGGGAGGTGGGGGTGTTTGAATGCTCGTACAAGAGAGAAATATAGTATACACTTCTTTTAATGAGTTTTTATGACAGTAGTTTGAGTGATACGAGATTGGAAATTTGAGACTTTGAAATTTTATATTCGAGGCAATGCAGCAAAGTTTATAAGTAGTAGTATATATAGTAATAGTGAGTGCTCGAAAGGCGACTGTGCCGCACATGCCACGCGACTCGTGTGAGCTCTAGGTGCGGGCGGGCGAGCGGGCCGCGCGGGCAGGCGGGCTGCGTGCGGGCGATCGATACGGCGGCGGCAGGGCCCTGGAGTGGGCGACGAGGAACAAGAGTTAGTGGCGAAGAAAGCACAATGAGGACGAGAGGTGGCTTTTTCAAGAGGCTCCAGCAGGAGCAAGTTTAGGAGCCTGGTGGATCTGTGGACTGGTGGAGGAAACGGGACGCAAGATGACGAAATTGCCAAAAAAGGAAGTGCGCGATGAATGAGATTATAACGATCGTAAAAGATAGGATGCGAGGATGTCGAGAAAGAGTGAGAAAATGTGTGAAGAGGTTACACTGTAAACGCAAAAAAGGAAGTTGTGGAAAAAGGAGATAAAAGAAAAATATTCTTACCATAAAACGAGTGAAACGGGAAAAAATGGAAACTGCATTATATGAGCAGTGGTTTACAGAAAAAAAGTTTAAAGTAGTAATAATAAATGAAATTTTGGAATACCCAAGTATTTTGAGATAATTCTTGGAAAATTAGTTAACTGAAAGAAAAACCGTATCTAAATTATATAAGGAACAAACTCCACCTAATGGAATGCAAATTTAAATTTAAAAATATAGATAAATGTAAAGGTATTTGAATTTTATATACTTAATGGCACATAAATTTCGAATGCGAGGAGTCGTACTATAGCACCTCGGACATAGCACAATAAAATCACTAAGTGTCCAAACGGAAATAAAGAATTGTGGTCAATGAGGTACTTTTGAAAAAAAATAATTTTGAGAACAAAACTTTAAATACCCATAGAATCAAAATATCTATTATAGCGGGCATAAAAAACTAGGCGCGTATGATAACAAATCAAAAATGTACATTGTAATGAAAATATATAACAGATCGAACCGGTTAGACTGTAATATGACGAGAGATTAAAAATGTGTTTCAATGATGAAGTTGAGTAGCCGTGATGCTGAGTTTGAAGGGCCGAAGCTGCCTCGGCTCGAAATGTCGCGGGATTCGACGGCCACTACGGGCATGGACGTTGGGGTGTGTGTTCTTGTTTTTACGTACATCTTCCTAGAGTCGCCCCCTACAATTAAAACAATAACAGTGGTAGCTTATCTGATGAATATGCGACCTCAAAAAATGGTATATAAAATTATGGGAGTTGCGGTAGGGAGAGAGCGTGTGGCGGGCGGCCCATCGCAGCGTGCGGCGTGCCCGGCGGCGCGGCGGGGCGGGGCGGGGCGTGGGCGGGGCCGCTGCTAAGCCAGGGGCGGCGCGGTGGCGGGCTGGTGCTGCGGGCGGCGGGCAGTGGCGGCGGGGGCGGGCTCAATGGGGCCAACAGCGGCGCGTTGCGATGTGGAGCATCTTCAGGCAACTTGAGGTTTTAAAGCGATTTTATTAGAGAAAGCACCACAATACATTTCACGTAACTCTAGGATTTAAATTTTTTACCGAAAAACGGCGTAAGTTTTTTGTAACGGAGCCAGTTTGAGATTTTTATAAAAAATAGTATGATCATTTGAAATTTCATAAAAAACGTCGATTAAATTTTAAATACAGCTGGGCGTACTTGCAGCCGTGAAAATTTATAGTCATCCGAAAATGCCATTTGAATTTTCAGAAAACCTTGTTTTAACTCAACTGCAGGTCGTAATTGAATCGAGT